AAATATAAGTGACCCTATTAAAATGCACAGTGTAGTCGAATTTGTCACACTATGAAATTACACAAACCCTTGATGGTTAGGATAATCGTCTCATCCTCTAGGCTAACTTTGTCACATAACGATATCTTAATCAGGTGATAAGATATCGCTTAAATACGGCCGGCACGTAAATGGTTACATTGTCACACTATAAACATGTGACGGAGTAAATATGGACCCCTTGCTGCCGTTTTTGACCAAATTTTTGAGTGTCCAGTTGATTGGATGGGTACATATGACCATTACCTACATATTTGACGACTTTTTTCGTTAGATGGTGCACTCAGGTTTACTCTGTCACACATTTAAAAAAATATGTGAAGAATGTTCAGGGCACCCTGGTAAGCAATGCTGAGTAGTGTAGGTTTATTTGATGGCCTGGAAGTGCTAGGAATTGTTATTATATTGCATATAGTCGTAAGGAATTAAAACACAGGAGGCACAAACAAGTTTACTTTGTCACATAATCTTGATGATATCTGAACATGTGTGAAATTGAACAAATAATGATATACCAGCTTAAACCCCTTATATTACGTACTATGGATCAAACAACACTGCTAGTACCATGCGCCAGTCACATAAATCATTATCGGGTGTAATATGTTAACAGTGTCACAATTAAACTACCGCAACATGGTCAAAAATAGGGTAATTTCGTCACAAAAAAATTATTATAACTCTGTTAGCTCCTTGCTGGCAAAATAACTAGTTTATCGAAATTGTTTTGATGATAAAGTTACATAGTATTTTAATAGAGGTATAGATCTTCAAAATAGGGACAAGACATGTTTACTTTGTCACATCAGTTATTATAAGAGTTAGGTAATCGTCATCACCTTAACAGATCTTTTTCGTAGTTTGGATCGATTAATATAGGCAATAAAGCATCCTATGCCAATTTTAACACACTATCTTGATATTTTTGGGGCAGGAAAAGTTAATTTTGTCACATTTTCAGTGACTTTGACAAATTTAACCTAAAATTGTTAAACTTGAGCTCTGATGTTCTGGACAATATTCTACCAATCGTTTCGGAAAGAATGTTGAATTCTAATAGAGTTATAGATATCCAAAATAGGGGCAAGACATGTTTACTTTGTCACATCAGTTATTATTAGAGTTAGGTAATTGTCATCACATTAACATATATTCTTTTGCAGTTTGGATTGATTTATATAGGTAATAAAGCAGCTTATGCTAATTTTTACACACTATCTTGAAATTGTTGGGGCAGGAAAAGTTAATTTTGTCACATTTTTAGTGACTTTGACAAATTTAACCTAAAATTGTTAAACTTGAGCTCTGATGTTCTGGACAATATTCTACCAATCGTTTCTGAAAGAATGTTGAATTCTAATAGAGTTATAGATATCCAAAATAGGGGCAAGACATGTTTACTTTGTCACATCAGTTATTATTAGAGTTAGGTAATTGTCATCACATTAACATATATTCTTTTGTAGTTTGGATTGATTTATATAGGTAATAAAGCAGCTTATGCTAATTTTTACACACTATCTTGAAATTGTTGGGGCAGGAAAAGTTAATTTTGTCACATTTTTAGTGACTTTGACAAATTTAACCTAAAATTGTTTAACTTGAGCTCTGATGTTCTGGACAATATTCTACCAATTTTTTCTGAAAGAATGTTGAATTCTAATAGAGTTACAGAATATATAGATCTTCAAAATAGGGGCAAGAAATGTTTACTTTGTCACATCAGTTATTATAAGAGTTATTATAAGAGACTATTTCATTCTATAATCATTGTTTTTAACCTATTTACGATTTCGTATCATTTTTTGTGACAATGTAAACATCAACTGATCTTAACTTGCATCAACTGCATTGTCATCATATAAAGTTTTCCCGCCTTTCAAATCAAAATCAGATATAAATAATTCGCCCAAAATTTAAAATTCCATATATTGTGACAGAATTAACCTCATTTCCCAATAACCAAGTGCCTGTATTAGCGAACTATTCGAAAAAACATATTTTAGGGCTATGATTGGTAGATCAACCATCAAATAATGAGTTAAAAGGGTTTTGAGGACACCTCACAGAAGAATAGAGGTATGGTATTCTGACTGTGACAAATTTACCCAAATATTGCCTTGTAACCGTTCGATCCGTGCCCTTTAACTAATGTTTTATCATAATTGTTAGATTGACCTAATCTACTATATTTCAGACCAAGGAATGATAATTAGACAACTACAGTTAACTAAGTCACACAAAATGTGACATTTGAAACATTATAGTGCTTAACAACAATAGATTTTCTTTCTGAGCAGTGCATATGGGGGTATGTGTTACGTGGCTAATGTTCAGAACTTCTGAACGTGCTAGGTTAATAGATGTCAAAATTAAGCCACTATCGTCGAAAACGCTATTATTTTTGTTTACCAATATCCTCAAACTCAAATGAACGTGTCCATATATAGTAGGTTTATTTAACCTGCGCTTTATGGGGGATCTTTTAGTTTTACCAGGATGGTTGGACATCATGTTAATGTTATTAAGGACCAACCAATTTCTTTAAACTACCCTTCCACCTTCATTTCCGAGTTTTGTTTACTTTTAGTGCCTGTTTTGAATTCTTAACTATCTCTAAATTGTGTGTATATTGTATAATAATGCTCTATATTTTAGCCAAGATGGAAAAATCGACAGTTTTCGCTCCGACGTCAGAAACAGACTGGGGTTCACACTTTAATCACGCAGCTGATATAACGTATGGGCTTATCTGCTGCTCTTGTTTTCTAGTCGGAACAGTGGGAAACCTGGTCAGCTTCCTGTACTTCAAGTCAAAAAGAAAGGGCATATCTACTGTCATCTACAGAATGGTGACAATTAATGACATACTGATCAGCCTTTCAATACTACCCATGGGGGTTTCATTGTGGTCAAGTAGGCTACCAGGTCCGTGGTTCGGGAACGAGTACGGGTGTGGAGCTTGGTTTTATTTATGGGAAACAGCAGTGGCATTCAGTGTCTTCCTCGTTTTGTGTTTGAGTACAACGAGGGCAATTTCTCTGCTGAAACCTTTCAAACGGCTAAAAGTAAGATATCTGGTTTTGGCTGTTTTGACATATTTGCTGCTTACTTTAGCAGTTTTAATAAGAGCCAATATGCTACAGGGTGCTGAGGTTATATATTTTCCTGGGTATGTACGATGTGAACTTTATTTCACCCAGATACCTGACGAGGCCATCCTGTTAACTTTAGAGGTTTTTAGAATCCTAGCTTATGTTGCGCCTGTATTCGTTGTGACATTTAGTTGTGCCATATCAGCAGTGTTACTCACTAGAAGGAACGAGGAGATGCGACAAAAAGAGCTACAGCAGTCTAGGAACAGCGCCACCATCACCATCCTAATGTTTGCCATACTGTACGGAGTTTGTAATATTCCGCTAGTTGTTAATCTGCTTTTACTAACATATAGCAGTCACGCCAACAATATGGAGTGGTACTATAATTTGCACCGTTTTGATACACAGAACTATTACTTCAGTGCCATGAGCAACCTCCTGCTAGCAGCTAACTCAGCCGCTAATCCCATTCTTTATTTTTGGAGGATGCCTCCTCTCAGAGATTACACTATGACAGGAACCAGGATTATTTTGAGACTCAACAAAGAAATTGGAAGGGGCCCAAACAGCACGGTCATCAGACGTATGAGGAGCATCCAGCTTGTGCAGGAAGGCTCATCAGTTAGAGTTGTCCAGAATATCCAAGCTACTTTTAAACTACCAGCAGTGCACAGGCAGCGCTCCAAAATGGCACTGACTGGACGTCATTCTAATAACAAGCTGGTTATTTAGACGGAACGTTATGGTGTGGATTGGTGAATGCAATCCCAGACGTGGCTAAGTAAGATATTCCAGCAGTATAATATTACGGTAACTGCTGTTTTCCATTGAATATTTCAATTTTATTCAGCACAGTTAATAAATCATGAAAATGAAATCTTATCGTTAGATTGTAACTGAATTTTTTGATATATTATATCATTGTTTTTAATGCGATCCAGAAGAGAATCTAGCTAATAATGGTTAGCTGTGTTATTAAATGTAGTTAAAGGCTACGTAATTAAAGACCGACAAGCCTGTGTACTGGGTGGTCTTGCTATAGCTATCACTACAATAATTCAGAAAGGAATCAATGATCCTCTCTTCATCAAATGATGGAGTAGTTCGCTGTTTATTAGTCTCATGATTGAAATATTGATCGTTGGATAATATCCGGTTGGAAAAGACAAGGACAAATGAAATAGGAAGTTAGGAATGTAGGCAAATTTCGGCGTCAACGCCATCTTCAGGCTCACATTATTTGTTATATAGTAGTGTTGAAAGTATTAAAATACTTTAAATTAAAGTATACAAATACTTTGAATTAAAGTATTTTAATACTTTCAACACTACTATATAACAAATAATGTGAGCCTGAAGATGGCGTTGACGACGAAAATTTGCCTACATTCCTAACTTCCTATTTCATTTGACCTTGTCTTTTCCAATCGGATATTATCCAACTATCAATCCTCTCTTTAATCCTAGCTAACAGCTAACAGCTCTAACTAATTTGCCTTCACAACCCATCTAAAAAGTCATTAATTAATGAACGGACTTACGTTTCTGATCTCAACTTTCATACAGTCAACGTTAATGAAGTAAGGTGGAGTTATACATTACGACCATTAATGATTAACATCAAACAATATAAAAATGATATTATCCTCGAACTTTAGATTAAATAACTTTTATACAAATAATCCAGTTCTAATACATTCTTACACTTCCGTCAAGACATGACTCACAAGAAGTCAAAACAGCGAATAATTCATTCCGTGACATACTGTCAAAAAGTTTATATAATAATAAATGTGCTTATTAATACGCTCCACCTGAATTTTTCAGTCCTAAATTCAAAATCTTCATTACAACCATCTCATGATGTCACGTGATCTCATCACTTAGAAAAACAGTAAACTTACTGCCACGTTAAATCGGTACACAAAGGTCTTTATAATTAAAGAAGATAAGCGATGTCGCTAACTAATACTTGGTTGGGATTGCCAATCTATCTCTATAGTCGGCCACTTTGTCCTCAGTACCCGGAGCAGTGATGTGGGGGCAGTGCTGGCCTCCATTACTTGATTATATTCCATATAGATAGCAGCGGCACCTAACCTGTACGTAACCTTCTTGTCAGAGTTAGATTGTCGCAATCCGTTGTAATGCTGAACTACAAACTGCTTGTTTTGGAACGCCTCATCCTGCTTCTCCCAGGCTCCGGGAACGAATTCCTCGATAAACGCGGGAATAGAATAATTCCAGTGGAGTCTGGATCTAGACGATCCTTCATGAACTCAACATACTCATCTTCACTCACCATGTCTAACTTTTCTAGAACATTAGGCAGATCTGTTACTGGAATGAAGCCGTTCCCTTCACAGTCAAAAGTGTCGAAAGCTGCCCTTGCTATCTTAAAGGGAGACTTCTCACTTACACATAGAGAACTTTCTGCAGAAAATAATAAACTAAGATGGGATTCTGAGCCTATGATCCATATTGGATACTCTGGACATTTCAGAAAATCCCCTACTTTGCAGTATCTCAAGGCTTCTAGCAGAGTCAAAAACCCGATATCAGTCTTTTGCGTGACTCCAACTAGGTCCATGCCATCAATACTTCTGGTATAATCAAAAACGTTGGGAGTTGCCGCTCCGGTAAGGATTAAGTTCAACAAACTCTGATTACCGTGTCCGAAAGTGTTGTCAACTAGAGAAGGGTCCCCCATAATCCCGATATCAGATACTATATTTTCTATCCCTCGAGTGAGTACTATTGAGTAAAGGAATGACATCACTCCGAAATCTCCACGCCAGCTCTCGGTGAGACCCTGTATGTGATTCCCTATTTCTGACGTGCTGAAACTCTGCAGGGTCAAATGTTTGTGGAACTCGACAGAGGACACAGCGTCTAATTGTTGAGAAAGTTTGGCTATGTGTATTGTATCCGAGGCAACGTTCAGGAAGATATATTGAAGGGATTGCTCTAGAGCTTTCTGGGCTTGTTCCTCGGTCACGTCGGCCAACTGAATTTCACTGAAATTAATGGTAGTTAGTTACAGAAATAATGTTTAAGGATGTTTTACAAAAATATGCTTACGGCTTTTCGGCTCATATTCATAACGGCTATAAGTGTTCACTGTTCACTGTACCTAACTTGAGCAAAATATTGCCAACTTATCTAATTTCATAAAAGTAGCAAAAGAAAATGAGCAACAAGCATGAGAGGAAAACAAACCTATCAAATATGAGATGTTTGATGATGTAAGCCTGGGCGGGCACTATTACCGCACAAGGTCCTCCCTTTCCCTGAACCAGGGCACTCTTGCAGTCATCAGAGAAAGTAAATCCCTGGGACCATTGTTCAAAGATGTTGCCTATTTCGGTATCCGTAGAGAAACCAGAGCCCCATATTAGCTCACATGAAGCTGAAATCTGAGGCAGAACGGTAGGCTGCGATTCCATGACATCCTACGGGAGGTTCAGTTGAAAGATATTTTCAGGACAAATCCATCAATCGCAGCAATTGAGCAAACGATGATATTAAAGTTAAGTAAAATCGTAATACCAAGAATGATCACGTTCACTAAAAAGAGTATAATTTCTGTTGAAGTATTAAAAAACAATATCAAAATATCGACGTTAGTCAAGATTCAATTCTATTGTTCGTGCAACAAATGTTGCATCGTTTGGGTTTCTTCAGGAATCTAAAATCACAAAATTGTCATCATTTGACCGCGCACAGACGCGCGCGCGCGTGCCAGTCCGATTGAGGTAAAGTCCGATCGGATCAGACAATTTGATGGATGGAGTCAACTGAAATCACTTGGCTGAATAAAGCTGCATGAAATGAAAAATATACATAATATGTATAATAATGGGTTAACAAAATAAAGTGATACATATAATGCGGCGTGGAGTAATCATTAGGTGAACCCGAATGATAGAATGCTCACAATATGAAAAGTCTAGGATTATGATCCATGATAAAATGATCAGCAGATGTTTAAACACAAATAATATGGAGTAAACTTAATACAGATAACAGTTCAGTGGAACTCGTGAGATGAGAATATGATTTAGCCGCACTTTATCTCCGTGGCGATCTTGAGTAACGTCGTTCCCTTCTGAAGTAAAACCAGTGTTAACAAGTTCGATCAATTTCAATTTTACGAATAATGAAAATGGGGGTGTCATTTTTTTACCATCGACTTTCGCAATTTTATTATATGACGAATTGTTCAGTGGCAATAATGAGGTTGACCTCAATATTGACGAAAATCCTAAAATTTCGAAATTAATGGGGAATGCCATGACACCCCCATACATTAATTTTGAAGCGAATTTGCAAAGACGGAAGTGTTTGTTCCAGAGATGCCTAGTATATACAGTACATAGTACATGTATATATATATATATAGTATATACATAGTACATGTGTATTTTAATATAACATTGATTATGCCCTAATATTTAATATTCAAGGAATTATTACTGTAATTCTACAATATAAATTCACACCGTAGTATTCATTACATTCACTGCCTACCTTAATTCGGGATTCCAAAGACCAAGATACGATCACGATACAAAAAATATAAAATACTTGCGAAATCCGTCGATTTAAATTACGATTTGATTTCGTTATTAATCGAATCGGTGTTACGGTGGCTAAACTTACGATAAACGAATGTACTACTATCGGGTTAAAAGAAGTCAAGTAACGGGTCGATCGTCTAAAATGTCAAAACGTTTGTCAAAAAAGGTCGAATAATTGTCGAAAACGGTCGAGAATCGTACAAAGTTAAAAATTGACGATCATGAAAAATAAAACGAGCACAGCTATGCATCGAAAATTCAAAACTCGATTTCACCTGAACATAAATAAAAATTAGATTGTTTAAAAACAAAAGCTTCAAACAAGATTGGAATGTAGGAAAAGAAACAGTCAGCGAGCCCACACAGTATCCACATATTATATAACCTAGAGCTAAACGTTCGTTGTAAGTCAAGTAGGTTAGTCTGGAATATCATGCAACTAACGAGCTCACTAACCTAGGTGAATATGCACGTTCGTATTCCCTGTATTCCCGTGGAGGAGGGGTCCTGCGTCGGGGAGACCTGCTGTGGGAGCGCCGGGAGGAGCGGCGCGGGGAGCGGGAGGCGCTACGACTGCGGGACCTGCGCCTGCTGCTGCGCTCTCTGCTGCCTCCATACATTCCCGGGGGAAGTGGCGGCATGCAGCCATACCTCTTGAAATAGTCCTTGAACTGCTCACTGAAGTGCAAAATATGAGTTAGAAAATATGATAGTGGCAGTAAATGAATCGTCAACTGCATATAGTAAGTATAAAATGATTTTAATCAATATTTAGTTGTGAATAACTAAATTATTGAATTGCAACTTCTATGTGAGGAGAATGACGCACCTGTTGAACATAGGCATTGGGGGAGGAGGATAAGGCATCCCATAAGGAGCAGGATAACCAGGGTATGCTGCAGAGGGAGCAGCAGCAGCAGCGTTAAAACCACTACCTTCAGGGCCAGGTATTGGGGGCGGCATGCCGTATCCTGGCATGCCGTGCGGGGGAGGGTGACCGTACGGCATGCCCGGCATGTTGTACCCGCCTGGTGGCATCTGCATGTTGGGGGGCCCCCCTTGTCCTTCATTCCGGCTCTCACTCCTGCCGCTGTCTCGACCAGGTCTGTGGTTCTGGTTCTTGGACATCTCCACGTGTATATTGTTACCCATGAACATGCAGTCGTCTAGTGCATCAATAGCTGCGTTAGCGTCGTGCATATTCGTGTAGTGCTGTAATGGATTAGAGATAATTACATAATCATATAATTATATAATTGTATAATTAGAGATAATTAAAAACAGGAAACTGTCTTTAGGATCTAAATAACACGAGTGTTGGGTAAGTAATTACTCTGACATAGCTGTTAAGTGTGAACTCACAATGAAAGCGTAATTCTTGATGACGTCACATTCCGACACCATTCCGTACTTCTCGAACAGTCCGCGAAGGTCGTTGGCGTGCGCGGTAGACGGCACATTTCCTATGTACAGTTTTACCATTCTGAGATGGACACGATGTTGTTACTTGTTTATGATGCAGATCATGGAATATGTTAGTGGGTTTAAAGATTTAACGAGTACAAACTACGATACACAGACGTCAGACATGACATTTCAATTATTACAAATATTGTGATATTAATTTGGAAAATATTTGAAGTCAATAAAATTTAAAATGAATTGCCGGAAATCACTGATAACGGTTCCGAACTACAATAATAGCACATATTTAATATGTAAAAGTTGTTATATATTGTCGAATACAACTTCTATTAATAGAAATAAATCCTGTCGACAAACAAATTAACAAATTTAATAAGCAATTCAATTAACAAACTTAATTCAGTATGCAAATGTTTCAAAATAAAATTCAATAGATAATAGAGTCAAGAATTAACAACAAACAAGGTGATATATAACCAATCACTATCAGTTACCTGCAACTACTAACGATCGTATTACTACAATCTCTCTAACAGAGTTTGGCTTTATTTCAGCAGAAATTTAAAGATTCTTAAAACGTTCAACTTCTCGACAAACAAATATAGATCTCAGAAAGTTATGCAAAAACGGAAGTCGGTTAAATTGCTGCATGAATAATAAAGTAGTTGGTTCTCATCTAAATTCCAGGATCAAAATAAACTCTGAGCGATTTCTTGGTAACACGGTGATCACTATTCACTGTCAGCAGTTTTCTTCTTTTTGAACTTTGATTAAAATAAAGATGAACTCTGCTGATCAACGTTTAACATAAGGGACCATATCATCTGCATCATCATCATCAGGCTCAGATCCTGAATCAGGGTTATACTTAACGGGCTCCTGTTTAGAAATACGTGAAGATTTCTTTGCAGGAAGTGTTTCTTCTGGTTTCTGAATACTTTTATCCTTTTTAGCATATTTGCGTTTGGGCTTTGATTCCTTCATCTCTGATTTGATTGCTTTAAGGTCAAGATTCTTTAGTATCCCATCATTTCTCTTGATGTTGAAGAGTCTCTTGCATTCATAAGGCGCCAGATCAGGTGTTTTTCTGTGTATCTTCATAACATCCTTGAGAAGATCCTCCTCTACACCCAGACTGGTCAACTCCTCTCGGAACTTATTCTCTTCCTTTTCTTTTAATGTTAGTCTTTTCTGGGGCTCTGTAAACAACAACAAATCAACTTTTTCATCTTTGTAAAGAACCGGCTCCATTACAGATATTCGTGATGATTTCCTAGGAGGGAGAATCTCCACTGCTGAAGCTGGTTTTATTCTTTTCTTAGGGGAACTCATTACCTGGTTCGTTTTGTATTAATCAATTAATTGAATGGAAATAAGCAGTCACATTATATATAAAATCCTCAAAATCAAATAAAACATATCGAAAGAACAAAGCGTTAGTTAGTGCAAATACTTGAATGCCTGTGTTTTCAAGATTTGACCTAGAATATGTTGCTAATTTCGATATAATAAGAAGTTATTCATGATTTTATTAACACGAGGTTAATTTAAAAAACAACCAAAATCGATAACACAAATTTGAACTGAGTTTTGGGAACTATAAAGTAGATATTTGTCTACAGTTTCTTTAAGAGATCTCAAATTATACCAGCAGAGTCTGATTAAACGTCAAAAGCCCTAGATGGCCTCTGTCTTTGATTAATGATAACACTAAATTGGCTTAATCCCAGCAATTCTTGCAGATTTCCTAGCTGATTCCAGAGGATTCGCATGTTATAGCCTTTTAGTCCATTTCTGCGATTGAGAGTTTTTGGATGTCATTTCATGTCAGGTCTAATGTCCATAAGATTTAGAGATCATAGCTTCTCTTTGGCTTACCTTGATATTATATTTTCTGCATTCATAGCATAGGGCATAAGATCTCAATTTTTGTGATGTATCTTCATAATATCAACCATGATATCAGCATCAACTCCCAGATTCCAGATATTCTCTTCTTGGCTATACCAATCCTGGGAAGCTTCTAATCATCAAGAGGAAGAATCTCTGAAGGGGCACCAAATGTGGCTGTTTTCTATGAATTTCTACAATATCACTCTTATTTAAAACTCTTCATCGTCATATCTCTCATTATTTATTTTAAATGAACCTGCGGTTCTATACAATAGTTGGGATAATAAGTTAATACCTCTACTGTAGAAAACCCCTCTCGGCAGATAACGTAATATGCAGTGATCGCAGATCGACCGAGGGCAGGATTTGCGACCGAGACCGAGGAAGGCATATTGTAATTTAACCGAAGCCGAGGCAAACCGAGGAATCATTCTTCTGATCGAGGCCGAGGAAAAATCGTCATTCCTCGGTAAACCGAGGCCGAGGACTCGGTCGATCACTGATAATATGTGAACGACCTCTTGGCATGGTGTTAGGGGAATAAATAGTCCTGCTGCTACTAAAATCAATTATCAAAATTGTATTAAAACTCTGCAACTGGCATTGAGTATCGAAAAGGTTACAATTGAAATAAATTACAAATTTGTCATGTAGTTAATTTAACTAACATACAGATTACAGAATATGATAGAATATATTACATTAAAGGGTCAGGAATTGAAAAACATGATAGAATCTGGTAAAAATTTATAAGTTAATAAAATACATTCGATCTTTTATTTGATCAAAAGATGAATTTAAAGTTTAAAAAGAGAGTTAAAAACCTTCACATTAGCAGGGTCATTGAACAAAACAAACAAAAACCGTTAAAATCGAAGAAATTAATTAGTTTGTTATCAAGTTATAATAAGTTATAACACGAGCTCTGGTTTATTTTGTGTGCTCTGTAATGTCAATGCGACTTATAAAATCGTAGCAAATGACTTTTAGGAAATGCCCTCCAGAAAATGAGAATATCAATCGTTATGAAAAATATAACAATATCCGCTCCCATTACCACAAACAAGAGCGTTCTGTGAATGATGAAACTGTACAAGCGACTGAATTGAGCCAATATTCTCACTGGAGAGAGTGCACTCCATTTTCCCTTGCATATTATAGATTTCAACACGACGCGGCTGAGCCATGGAGCCAATAACAAACAGTTCATCACTTGATGGATGCCATCTCGCTTGGAACTTGGTGAGCCAGCGACCTGTGTTATTACAATGAGAGAATTTCTTAACTTCTGATAATTTAGCCTTATCGCTAAAGTCTAGTATGCACACTTTATCGTCATAGCCAACTGACACAATTCTTTTACCCCTGATAGGATCGAAAATAGCACTGCTCACTGTTTTAGAATGACTTGTGTTCATATCTACTGGATGTTTGGTATTTCTATGGTCCCAGGCTGCAATTGTTGCATTGTTTGAGGTAGATAAAAAGTAGTTTGTGTCGTATTTGCTATGATCCAGTGCCCACAATGACCCATATTTACTGAAGTCCGGTTTAGCAGGATACTCACAAACCTTACTGTTCTCTCTCACATCCACCTTTAAAACCTGTCCATTTGTTCCAGCAACCAACACCTCGTTTTCGTTATATACATTTAACGACCTGAACCACACCTCTGGGTCTGAATACAGCTGGTCGTACTGTAGTGTTTCAGAATCGAACATCCGAATGGAAGAATCATACGAGGATGTAAATAACTTGTTCCAAGAAAACTGGCAACCTCCAACTAAGTCAGTGTGAGGTTCTAGTCGAATTGTAACCTTCTTTTCTCCAGGCATAAACAAACCTACCTCACCTTGTTTACTGCCACCTGCCACTATCAGTTTATGTCCAGGATGAATTGCCATCGAGGATAGCCGAACTTTACACAATTTTGCGATATGACTTTGGTCGAGGTGTAGATTTCTGATGTCTTCTAAAATAGTGGAGTCTTCAGATTTGAGTTTTGGAGGGGTTACGAGGAGATTTTTGTCTACTGTTTTCTTTAGCACATCTAAGATCGGACCAGCGGAGTCTGATTTGACGTCAACAATATCGTTAAATGCAAGCTTAGGCCTAGATGGGGCCCTCGGTCTTTCAGATCTTTGAGACCGCAGAGGTACCTCAACCAGGTACTCCGAGGTATTATAGTGAATTGGCTTTATTCCAGCAATTCTTGCAGATTTCCTGGCTGGTTCCAGGGGAGTTGTGAATTTTGGCTTTGGTGTCCAAGTCTTCCGTTTCTGTGATTGAGAGGTTTTGGATCTCATTTCAGGTTTAATATCCATAAGATTTAGAGATCGTAGCTTCTCTTCATTTTTCTTGATGTTATACTGCCTTTTGCATTCATAGGGCACAAGATTTGGATGTGTGTTATGTATGTCCATAATATCACCCATGATATCGGCGTCAACTCCCAGATCCTCCAGATCTTTTCTGAACTGAACATCTATCTTCTTGGCCATTCCTGTGAAGCATCCAGGATTAGAATTTATAATAATTTATAATAATATTAGTTTCACATAATCTTATTGACTGGCGACTGTTTTTATATTTTTTTGATAATAAACTCATAATCAATGATCATAATTAGTATTGATATCGAAACCAAAAACAATAAAACAAAAAATAACTCAAATTCAAAATGCTAGGCTTTGCATGAAGCAAGATTACTCTATCATAAATTATACACATATAATATTAGCTAATATTCGATCATCATTCCTATGATTGCAGTTACAAAATAGGTTATTAAACCCGTTAATAAATTATGTTCACGACTGTTTATAGAGCAAAAAGGATCATGAAAGCAATCATGAGACAGAAGAGCCCCATGGCTTCAGAAAGAGCGAACCCAAGAACACAGTAGGAGAAGAGCTGTGTCTTGAGAGAGGGGTTCCTAGCATATCCCTCAACAAGAGAACCAAAGACTGTTCCAATACCAGCTCCAGATCCAGCTACTCCGACGGTGGCACAACCTTGATGAAAAAGCAATTAGTACAAAAGATCATAATATGCTATTCATAATCATTTACTGAGTTGAGCAAGCAGGAGTTTTTAAATGTGCCAGTCTTTGTTTTCTTGACTCAATGCAAGAGGGAAATAACAAACATAATTTTCAAGCACTTTAAAATGAAAACTTTAGCATACATGATAATTACAGCACTGTCGAAAAAAAAATAAATTCATTTAAAAAACTTGATTGAATATCAAAGATTTGAACAATCTAAAACACAAACCTGCACCGATGAATTTGGCAGCCTGTTCAAAGCTCTCATCCAGAACTTTGGGAGTAGTCTGGAAAGTCCTGACGGCAAAGACCGGTTGGACAGAAGCTAGAGGCTGGATGAGAGGGCGAGCAACAGACACACGGGTACACAGTCTAGCAGCAAACATGATGGTATCGTTTGTTCTTGGGACTTGCCTACCATGAAATAGAGTCAATTTATTTATGGGATGAAGAGAATGAAAAGGAATGCAATGATGATGATATACAGGTTTTTAAATACTTGTGTGAATCAGGGTTTGACAGTAATTTGTAATCTATTCAATAGAATCTTATACACACAAAGATCAATCACTCCAAATTGGAAAATAACTATAAAAAGTTGCAGTCTGATGATGACAAATGTGACAATTTACAGCTGTTAATGAAATTCAGACAGCATTTTAACTTTATCATAACATTCAGATAAGAAGTCTAAATCTTGCAATAATTCTTTAGCAACATTGCATAGTCGTTGAAATGAATTGGAAACTGCAAACTAACTCAACATAGTGAATTGTAAAACATAAAAGTTGTCTCACAACCTTACAGATTGACCAATATCGTCTGAACTTATATCAGATTTCTTTTTCTTTAAACGTTTGAAAGCATTATTTTTTTGCTCTTTAGATTCAGATAACCAGGCATTAGTGCCTACAGCTTCCTCGTTTTCCAAGGGTTTTTCAGATACTTTTAAAGGTGCAGTGTGTTGAGGGTTAGGAATTGTCTCTCTAAGTCCATCAGTGGTTCCCGGAAACACATCAAAGTTAAATGCAATACCTGCGCTGTAAAGACCAGTATCAACTTCCTGCAAATGCTTGAGGGCATGCTGTCTTAATTGAACTTGCTTTTGATGATTTTTCTTCACATCACGCCAGTACTGATTCATAAACCTTGTATACTCTTTTTCTAATTCTATTCTCTCTTCCATTTCAGTGTTTGAAACATATGCTAAGGGCCTTTTATACTGTTCTAAGAAGCATCGTTCATCTGGGTAGGCAAAGTAAGGTAAAGGTGGTGTTTCTTCCATGTACCTATTTCTGATTTCTAACATAGTCAACTTTGGTGCTTTTGGAGGAGCTTTCTTTTGTTTAGGACCATCCTTTCTTTTCTTGGGTGCAGGCATTTTGTGAAGCACCCCAGTTGTTGAAATACATCTCCGTAACAACATGTCAAGAGGTTCCGGAGTTAAGTTATCATTGGACCATGTTTTAACCTTAGAGGAGAAAGAGGGATAAAAAGTGGTAGCGCTGTTAAAATATCAGTACTAGATATAAATTTAGAGCCAAAAAATTGAACTGGCTACTTCTACTACTTAAAGGGTTTTTATAAAATTTACTAAGATTTTTTATTGAATTTCACATTGAATTTTTATATAGGTTCAATGCTATATTATGTGTATATTGTTTGAAAAACGGCCAACGAAAAAATTTGTTGTCATTGTTTTAACCTACAGATAAAATGATCAAATGTATTCAGTTGATGGTAAGGTAAAGCCTTAGAGTGGGTGTTTCGATACAGTTTGTTATTATATATAATGGCTTGAACGTTAGAGTTGCAGTGCCAGAGTTTGCTGACAGTGACTCGAATCAGACAATACACATCTTTTTATAGTAACCAAGGTATCATAATTTAGCAAGCAAACAATGAATAAAGAAAGAGTAAATCTCACACTTGTGTAAACCACGAATTAGAATCAATGAAATTAAGAGCTAAATAAAAACTAAACAAAAAATGTACACACAATATCACAATGACCCTGTATCAAATTAAACCTTCAAAAACTCAATATATTCCCCATCTAAAATATTGGCAGAACATTCGAAAATAACCCTGCCTTGTAGCTCCAAGTTCAAATCTAGACTCTCTATATCAACAAATTTCTTTCTTGCTCCTCTGTCTCCCCGGAGAGGAATCACTGTTGTTCTAAGGATTTCGAAACTCAAATATCATTTACACAGCGATTGACATTTTGAGATGATTATTATTAAATCTAAAATAGCTAATAATTTAATAAATTATTAACAGGCCCCTTAACGTGGGCAATAATATACGCTTTATAAATTATATAAACAAATTGCAGTCTATTTTTCCAATGTTGTTAAGTGTCTCTTTAGATCTGTTTTGGTGTTTTGTGGGAGTTCCCACATTTGTTGGTTGAGAATGCTCAACATAACATACATGATGCTTGACTGCTTTATTGACCCGGACAGGCACCGGGGGCAGACATCCCAACACCAGTGCGTTGGGACATAGTGTTGGTCTGCTTCAGGACGTGTTAGATCCTAGAGAAGCCGCCATCCCCTCTACTGCTTTAGCTCAGCGGCAGCATGAGCCCTGGTTTCCTGCCACATTGGTACCTCTGAAAGTACAGAAAAGTGGTGGATTTCGGGGTCCAGGATCCTCCCTCTTTAATCTTTACGGTGGTGTTATTTCTCTGAGATGTTTGCAGAGTCTTTATTTTATGATCTTTCTAGTTTAGTTGGATAAATCCTGGAGAGCATCATTTTGACCCCAAAGAAATTCGACTCTTCTAATGAATGCTTTTTGTGTGCTGCTTTTTGTTAACACTTCATCTAGATAGGAATGTGAGTCAGCCCCACCCAGCTCTTCTTTTAGCTGCAGGTAACTGGTGTCTTGCACCTCCAGACACAATAGGAGCTGGTGTACAGGAGAATCATCGAAGCTGTTGCAGAAACGACAGGCCTCACCACTGTCACCACCCATGATCTTTTGGATATTCGCAAAGAGTGGTGAGCTGCCGTGAATGTAGTCCATTATTCGGCTGTCCAGATTTTTACTCGTGTTGTGCCCGAATAAGAAGTTGTTTTTGTCTAGGAGCAGCCCACTGTTTTTGATCTTTGTGATCACACCAAGTATCTTGGTCTCCTTGTTGTTACTGACAGTTCTGCATTGCAGATTTGTTTCGATGCTGTCAATCCAGATCTTATTTTTGTAGCTCATTATGTCTGCCTGAGTGTAATGAGATGAAACCAGCATTAGCACTAACTCTCAAAAATTTAAGGGGCATTCTAAAAAGTTGTGGAGGCCTTACTACACAGTCGACAAAAGCCAGACATCAGTGTCCAAACATGATACAATATAAATGCACTGGCCTGGGTTGTAAAAATAACGTCGATCTTGAAAAAAGTTGAGGTTTACAATTAATTGCATTTCCGGTCAAATTCCTTGTGGGCGACAACAAAAAAGATTTAGCTAGGTAACAGCAAACTGACATTATTAAGATAGCATTATCACAACTATAATTAAATACATCTATATCTAGAGATTGAGTTGATCAAATCAAAATGGTGATAACGAGCAATTAGCGTGGTCATTTTGGCGGACAGACAGAAAATTAATAAAATAGCGTAATTCAAAATTGGCTATTTTCATTTACAATATAGCAAATAAATGAGCAACAAAGTTAAAAATCAAACTAAAATGCTAAACAAAATAATTGTAATAAATATAATTATCCTTTATTGATTGAAAATGTAGTGAATACTCAAAACTTTGATCACATCATCATATTAAAAATGCACACTTTTACAAACAACAAGTCGGAGCTAGATTGGAAATTATATAATGTGTAATAATAATTAGTAGATGGTGCGCAATCGACAGTGAGCCGCGCATGCCGACTGTAGGATGGCTTTTTAGCGCTAATTTCGGCTAGCACAAAATTCTTGAAACAAATGCGTATTGAGTAACCTTCCCATGATCCAATTTTAACAAAAATTGGTTAGCTTACTCATAGACTTACAAGAAAAGTGTCTGAAAAATTTGAAGCATATCCAACCATCAAACATTATGTTACAGATAAAAGCAGCGTATTTTGCCCTATTTTGCCCCATTTTCATTACTATATCAACTCCGATATGCACCAAATTTTTCGGACAGTTGTGAAAGCCAGCTGTTGGAAGGTCTTCACAAATTTACAGAATGATCTCATTAAAGGAACCGAAGATATGACAGAATATATATACAACAAAAAATCAACGAATTTTGTCAAATTACGCTACTTTTACACCTACTTTTGCTCCAAAAGCCTCGCACCATCAAATATGGCACCTAGGCGAAACTCACTGATCAGTCTAAAAAAGGTATGACAAATTTGGTACTGTGAAGATTCTCACAGTCTTTAGAAAACAATGGTACACAAATTTTGAAAATCCGAGCAAGTTTATTTTTATTGTGCACCCCTTAGAATTTGCTTAAACAGTCACTTCTAAGAGCTCAAAACAGGTATGGAACTGATTGGTGTGACAAAAATTTCACTGAATTCTGAGTGAGAAGTGATACTTGCCTGTTATTCCCACTTACTGACTGATAATCTTATCTATGGATACCATGCTTGAAATTAGGTAAACAACATAGCACTTCCTAACCAGTCACGTTGAACGCGATCGCCGAATGATAAAACAATATGGGAGCGCGCACAGCATTGCGCGCTGATACTCTAAATACTGTGCGCGTTTCGTCCGGAACCTGGGGGAGTTCCCGCTCTAATATATCTGACGACAGTGATTACTCATTATGAGAACTAACCCCGACCACTTTCCCGGTCGAACCGTACCCAAATCAAACTAATTTATGAACCACGTGTATAGCCAACGTCCTTGCGGTGCTGAGCCGATGTAAAAATCTTCTGTCTCTTGTTAATATTTTAGTTGTACTGTGCATAAAAGTGTGTAGTGACAAGTGTGTAGTGGTAATGTATATTATTTATTATGACGACGCGATATTTATAATGCAGAATTAAAAGCTGCTTTCGATATGACTGGTGGTGGGCTGTCTCCGGCGGGACATAGATCTATATAGGGGGTACCCGGGGTACGAGTTAACGAACAGTGTTCGTGTCCTTCCACAACCCCCTGTTATCTGTGTTTCTGTCGGGGTAGCCTAATTCATCCGTTAGAATCGCAGAGTTAGCGGAGCTCATGATATCTCGCGACGTTTGCCGCATGAACGGTGCAAGACTTGCGCCGTTTGTTTCAGCATCCAGTTGCGAGTGCTTGCCCATCGAAAACATGATTAGTGATTGTGGATTTTATTGATATTACTGATTATCCATCATATTCAGTATTAATGTTATCCATTATTTATTTATTGACATCCTTCAGTCTCCAAAACGAGGTGTGAAGGTAAATTAACTTTG